GGAGCTGGGGAAGGAGGACGTGGCCGCCGCGCTCTCGCTGCCGCCCTCGCCGCCGCGGGCGAGCGAGTTGGGCGCTCCCGACGCGGAGCCGGCGGGGGAGGAGTGCAGCTGGGCCGGCCTCTTCTCCTTCCAAGACTTGAGGGCCGTGCACCAGCAGCTATGCTCGGTGAACTCGGAGCTGGAGCCCTACCTGCCTGCCTTCCCCGAGGAGCCCTCGGGCATGTGGACGGTGCTCTTCGGAGCGCCGGAACTATCCGAGCAGGAGATGGACGCTCTCTGCTACGAGCTGCAAGGTTACTTGGTTCACAGCTTGGATACCTGTGGCTGGAAGATCCTTTCGCAGGTGCTCTTCACTGAGACCGATGACCCCGAAGAGTATTACGAGAGCCTGAGTGAGCTGCGACAGAAGGGATACGAGGAGGTGCTCCAGAGGGCCCGTAGGCGCATTCAGGAGGTGAGGCTACTGCGTGGTCCGGATGTTCCCACTTTAGTGTCGCATTCGGTTTAATCTGTGACATCTTTTTTAGTCGTTCCTGTTCTTACTGTCCTGTTCCTTAGTAAGAAAGTGAAGCTTAACCTTTCCAAGGTCCCTAGAGCCGGGATTTCAGGAGGTGCAGATTTTCCTACTCATTTGAGTGTGGCTCAGTACTTTCTTCTGTGCTATCAGATGTTGTGAATAAATATCTGATGAATTTGGCAAGGTCTTGCTCCCATATTTTTGTTCTTGCATTGCCTTGCACGAGGATGTGTTGGGGTCTGAATTTTTTTCTGTTAAATGAGAGCAGCAACATGTGTTTACTTTGATAGTACAGCTTAGGCATTTGCGATCGAAGAAATCCAGGTTCATACAGACTCTGGGTGCTGAATCTCCTATTTATATAGCGTGGTTTTGTTCTCCAGTGGAGTAAGTTCAAATTCTGTTCAGCTGGGAAGTTCTTAGAGTTGGAATGTTAAAAAAAAAGCAAGCTGTCTGGTCCTAGTGGGTATTTGTTTTGTTGCTGTTGATATTGTCTGTCGAGACTTGGATGTTTCAGGACACTTCATAACTTCTATACACCATATACTGTTCTAGACAGAGTAGTTGAGGATGCCCATCTAATTAACTTTTATCATCAATGTATGAGAATTTTTACACTTTTCTTGGTCTTCATGACTGAGTTGTATGAGATTTCCCCGATATAAAATGAGAATTTGACGCTTGTTTTTGTGCTTCAGTGGCCTTGGTCCAGAATGTACCCGATCTATCAAGGTGTGACTATGAGTCAGGTTAGACTATTCTTTATTTTTGCTAACATCATCTCAATTCTGTTGTGGATATAGGTCAAGTTTGGCTGTTTCAGCTACCCACATATATCCTGCCAATATTCTTTTAAAAACTGTGTGGTGTTTTTTTTCCTTTAAGAGTGTGAGCATATCTTCTTGCTCTCTGATGGCAGGGTTTTGAGTCTGGAATTCAGGCCAAGCTTTTCCTTGGTGACTGGAGTTACAGAGTATGAGAAAATTGTAGTATCAATGATGTAATCATGGTAAGAACATCCAAGTATAGCATTTCTAGGTAAAAGTTTATTTCCAAACTGTTGTGTTATGATATATAATTTTGATTTGTTTTTTTTCATGTCTATTTGAATTAAGTATTGCTATTTGATGTGCAAGTAATAATTAGTCTGATAAGATTCACCACAGAATATGAAAACATACCGTCTTTCACTGTTTTTTTTTTGACTGCATGAATGTTTGGGAGTGTACACTTAGATTAGATTTAGCCTTCAATTCAGCACTTTCTACAAGAAGCTGTGCAGGATAAGAGAAGTTCCTGTTAAACATGGAATTTTGGAGCTGGATACCTAACTCCGGGGATGTGGTCTTTTTGAGGAAACACTAGTTAAGAATTACTGAGCAAGAATTATTTGTTTCTTGAAGAATATCAATTTCTATTTTGTTAGTACCAGCACCACTGGCAAAAATAAATTGGTTCGCTAACCGACATCATTATATTCTGTGTTAATGTTATGAACTTGCTGCAGACAAAATGGCAGAGCCTGTGTATGTATTTGACTACAGTACAACCTTTCTTTTGCATGATAACCAGTCTGGTAGTGTACCTAAGGTCAATACAGCTGTACTTCTGGCAGTTGTGTAAGTTGATCCTTCTTTAATTAAAGGTAGCTCATGTTTAAGAAAAGAAACCAATGGAATGACCTGCTCTTTCCCTCTTGGCTCTCAGGTTTCTCTTTTCCTTACCTGTTAGGGGTTTACTTGGTCTACAGGAAATGTCTTTCTTTGAGCAAATACTGATACTCTTTGTCATTGCAATTCTAAGGAAATGAAGCAGTGGATGATGGGCACTGCTTGGTATTTCTGAAGTAAAGGTTTTTGTACTTTAAAGAAAACTGCTGAATCCATGCTTTATCTTACAAATTACTTTTCCATCTGTGCTGGAATTCTCTCAGCTGATAGCAGGAATGTTGGATCCAAGCAATTTTAAACAATTTTGTCTCCTACAATAATTTTTTGTGAAAAGAGGAAGTGATTGAGGAGCACTGGTAACCAGAATGGTATTTAGGAGGGTCTACATTAATGTAAAATTGTGCAACTCCTGAGACTTTGACTTAGCATCTTAAAATGTGCCTCTGTGGTTTATAGTTATTTCATGTATCTCTTCTATTTCCCAGGACAAATTCCTCTGTGCAGTTAGACTATTACTTGAGAAATGCTTACCGTTTCTCTTGATTTGTATTCTTTGGGGTGGAGAAGCAAGGTGAGCCATCAAACCTCATGTTCATTGTTTTAGCATCTGCTGCTTGGACATTCCTTGCTTTCCATAAATTAGACTCATGCCAGTTTATTTTCATGGCAGTTAGTAATTGTTGCTTTTTGTAACAGTAATTTTTATCTCAGTCTGAATTTTAGGCCTTTAACAAACCATAAGAATGTTGCAAGTAGAAACAGATCCAAGATGAGTAAGTAAAATAGTTGCAGAGGAGCTGTGTGACCTGGGATTCATTTCATCTGCCTGGTTTGAAGTTTTGAAATAGCTCTTCTTTTGTGTTTTTTTTCAAATAAAACTATTAATTTTGAAATAGGTGAGGAATTTATTTAAAGTAAAAACATGTTCATTAAGTTTATACCTGTTGAAAAAAAATATTCAGGTACTCAGTTAAAAGTTAAAAATATGTTATTTCAACAGAGAGTATACCATTGAATCCTTATTTGGGATTCCAAATGGGAATGCCCTTCCTGGGTAGTATTTCCAAAATACTAAACTTTGTGTCAAGAAGGCAGAAAATGTTTGCCTCTGTGCTCTTGGTCCTTCCAGTTTCCTGCTTATGTTCTTCCTACATAGAGAGGAGTTTTTTCTAGGCTAAGTGTAGATGTTTGTAAATTTTTGTGAGTTTACCAATATCAGTAATGGTGCTATATCTCTTGTCCATTCTGTGTTTTCAAAAGGCTGAAGGTTCTCCTGAATAAAACTTGGTGTTTAACTGTGATCAGGAGGGGTGGGTGGCTTAGTCATGCCTCAGACACATTTCAGTGTGTGCTCTTGCATAACGAGTTGAGAGTTTAGGAGGCCTATCTGTGTGTTACATGTCTACTTCAGCATCATTGAATTTTCAGCCCCTGGGATTGTTCCTGTTCCATACAGCTCTTAGTAGACTGAAATTTGGTTTACAGCCCTGGTAGACTGAAATTTGATGGATGATAGTCTGTAGGATCTTGAGTGCCAGGTATAAAACTTGTCAGAAGCTTGCTTTAGTTTTCTTTTTGCTTTATAAAATCTATGAATTCCAGTGTTTGCAGGTAGACAAAGACAATTTTGTATCCCTGCTCTGTGTGTCTTCTTTTAAATTTATTTTATTTTAATGTGAAAGTTCAAACATTTTTAATTTCCTGATTAAATTCTGAAGTAACTCTGAAAGCATCTTCTCTTCAGTGGCTGACTTTAGACTGCCTTGAAAGTGAGGGTCTACTGTTATTTTTAATTTCCATCTCCTGTTTAGTAAGGTACTTGCTAAGCATGAGAATAGTTCCACTTGGATAAAAAATCAAATCTTTTTGATTCAAAGAACTAGAAAGGCTAAAGAAAAAAAAATCTATTTTGTTACAGTAACAACTTGTATGAGAATAAAATGTAAGTTTTTTTAATGGAAAGCAATATGGTCACTTTATTTCCTTCAAAATCAGATTATTTTTTTCCTAAATTACTTTTGCATGTTTAGTACACAAGTTTCTTTGCTTTGAATGAATGAAATATGCTTCTCAAATTAGAGGAAGTGGCAAGGAATTAGTTCAGTTATATGTCATGGAATTTCGTATTTGTTACTTTCCAACATGTATTTCTTCAATATTGTCACTCATTTCTGTTTATATCAAAAAAGGTGAATAATATCCAATAATATTTTGCTTTGTCAAAGCTGTTCTAATATTTTAGTAATAAATAATATTCAGGACTGTTTCAGTAACTAGAATAATTTTATTTCATTGTTTTTGGCCATATGCATTCAGTTCTAAAATAAATGTTTATATAGTAGGTAGTGGGGCACTGTAACAAAAGTGGAGATTTTCCAAAAGTGAGGTGACTGGTTGCTGTTCAGTGATCTGCATCTAGGCACAATAAGATTTAAAGAGTTACAACATTAAACTCAAAAATAATACAGAAGTAAATATAAAACATTACAAAAAGTAGTGTTCCAGTAGCATGGAAAAAATGCTAGCAGCAGTAGTTTTTCCATCAAAACCAACGTAACATCTTTCTATGCAAGAAGAAGGAATAACTGGATATTGTATGTGAACTGCAGTAGTTAGGTTTAGATGGTACATAAAGTGTTTCAAGAGGGAAGAGAACACTGGCTTGGATTTAACATTGGGAGTACAGACGATTAAAGTAAGATACTGTGGAATTTTTTTTCCTGTTGACATGAGAAGAGCAGAGTCCAGACTAATGCTGAGCATCTGAAAGTCCAGCCTACTTTTGTTGGAATGCTTTTTTTGGTACTTTTTATTTGTACAGTTAATGCTTGTTTCCAACAACACTGTTTGGATTATAAGTCTTCTGTAAATAAGCTGTTTAAGCACTGAACTAGTACTGTAACTAACCAAAATAAAATAACCAAAAATAACCAAAATAAAATATGTCAGCAGCTGTAGGGTGTGCTCTGTAGAACAGGCAGGTAGCTTCCAAACTCTTTGGAGATAACTACATGATATTAATACTCTGGCTAGTATTGGGCTACTGTTAGAGCAAGCTGACAATGAGTACTGCAGCTGTATCCAAAAGTCAGAGTGCTTAAAACAATGTACATTTCTTCAAATACGGGCAACTTATGTGTACACAAAGGAATACGCATTGACTTGAAAAATCTTTCTTGAACAGAATTTAAATCTTAGATTAAAAAGTAAAAGTACATTCTGTAGAATACAGCAGTCATTAGTCAGTAAACCGGGATTTAATTTTTA